GGAGATATTTGTAAATTCTTTTCCCACATTGATATTTAAATTATAATTTCATAAGTAACTTGATTGTTTGACAAGATTCATTCTGAATATAATTAGCTAACATGTATTCAACCTCGCTCATGATTCATATTAATCAAATTAATTTCTTGGTCTACGAACAACGAATAATAGAAGTATTTATTGTTGCTCAATGTGAGTATAAAATATTAGCTAGTCATTCTCGTTTACAAAGTAACTTGATATTAATTCTACAGTTCCATGCTGCCAATTTTTAGCGAAGGGTAATGTGTTGAACAGTTCTATCAGATAACGAAAATCATTCCATCATACGCAAAGCAAGCAAACCAGATGACACTGTAATTTTGAGACGATTCATGGCATAACTCTGGATGAACTAGGATGATCTCAACCGATATCCAAAAATCCTCGTGAAAGAGCCTAAACATAAGGGAACCAGCGCTGGCTTTCAAATCGACAAGAGCAGATACTACACTTAGATCTTCGCTGAAAAAGCCGAGCAGCGATAGCTATTTTTTTGTTTTGTTATAAGAAATCTTCATAATGATATTGTCATTTCGCATTTAAAAAAAGTAACAATGAAAATAAAATTAACAATAACACGAGATGATTTTATAATAGTGAATGTAACCATTTGGTATCATGCAGATCACTATTCAAAAAAATTGATTTATCTCAATCATTGTTCAACTATCTTACATCGAACAAAATTTATCTCGAGAGTTTTTATAAAAATGGTGAGAACCTTGAGATAGTAATCTGAATTACACCAGTTAGGGTGATTCGAATCATTCCAACTGGGGAGAACTTTGAAAACCTCTAGTATTTCTCGAGTAAGTTTTCAAGTATTGTTCCTCAAACAAGAAAATGTTCGTCTCATTTTGCTCTATCTTCTCATGTGAAACGAGGCAAACATGAACTAATTTGGCCGATTATCAACCGAAATTATGAAACATAAACAAAAAAGAACATGTTTTTTTCGAGTCATCCTTCCTATCTTTGGATGAATATTTCATTTTTATGAAAAGTCTCACGAAACAAAAATAACTCGATGAAAAATAAACTACTCTCTCTTGATAAAAAAAACAAAAATTTGAAACCATCTATCAATTTTCTGAAAATAGAAAATTCTGTTGTGTGGTTGAGAATAAAAATACCAATCGTATAATCATTAATTTATGTAGTTCTATAGTATATGTCTCTCTTTCATTAGTACGTAGATTAACGGCACATACATTGTTTAATGAATTTGGCTTTGACTATCTCAATGAAACATATAATAATTCTGACTCATATATTCATTATGTTATACGTATTTCTTACATCTTCTCCACAGAAAAGAATACTTGATCTTATGTGGGACACATTTCTCGATGTCCAAACACTTACGATCAACATATACTTTTTTTTTACACAAAATGAGTTAAATCAATTAGTTTGATGTAAATATAGTTTTATAATAATTGAAGATTACAATATACGAGTAGATTATTTTGTTTATGATATACTTATAGTATATTTCTCATAGAAAATGAATATATTTTTCAAAATGAATATTCTGAAACAAGTCAAAACAATGCTATAGATTTTTTTATTCAACAATAGAGCATGTCCTTCAGACCATTTTTCACGGCGATATTTCTTTTGTTTTTCTGACTTTGTTACGTCTAACTATACCATCATTCGAGATCATGAATATTTGACATATGGAAATCTTGGTTTATTAAATTCATGTAGAATTATTCTATAAATAGTTATTTAAAATGAAAAGTATTATCGATAAATTTTATATGTCAGAAGAAACTAGTGCTAATTATTTTCAGTTTTTTTTCTTTGTTATTACATAATTACATTATCGTCTAAGATAATATTTATAGAAATATCATGACATTTGTCGATCTCTATAAGAGATGGTTCTATTTAATTTTCAAGTTTGATTGAAAATTGTTCAAAGTTCTCTGCATATTGTTTTCCTTTTCTTTTATTAAAATCATCATAATTGGTATACTCGAATGATGATAACATACAATACAATAGTCATTCACGCTCTGGTGTCTTTTTTTGTTTTTGATTTGTTTTTACAAAAAGAAATTATTTTCCTAACTCATTTCCCTATGATGAATGAATGTTTCATTTTTAGGAGAAAGAGAAAGTTTTTATTTTTGTCTTTGCTCATAAAACTTTTCCAAATCTCAAGAATATAAAACATCCTTGAAATGTCGATGACAAACGAAAGAAATTTTAAAGAAATGTTTTTTTCTTCAAAAAGTACCTTTTTTATCATTTCGATGATAGTTGTTGTTTTAATTTATCTTTCTATCTTCTCATGTTATAGCATTTTATTTTCCAAAATATCTTCTACAAAATGAAACTGATTGATTGATGAAATCCTAGCAAAACGAAAAACAAAAAAAAATTGACGTTTCTCTATAAGTGAGGGTAGTCGAACAAGTATTTATTTATCGATAAATCCAAAATATAATGACTTCGTAATATAAAATGTTCTTGTCTCAAAAATGAATTTTAAGAATTAGTAGTTTTTTTTTCCACTCTGCCTTACATACTTTCTTTTGATAGATAAAAGGAAACGTAAAATTGTATGAGTAACTTAACCTTGTTTTTCTTTTTAAATTTCAAAAGAAAGAGAAAATGTAATCAGAAAATTTTATAATTTATTAGATGATACCTATAGAAAGTAATTATCAATTATTGCCTTTCTTTTCTGTTTTACAAAAAATTTAAACGTTTCTTAGTTTCACGTACATAACCAAACTTCTAGTGTACTGTAATGGTTCATCTTTATATAAGGACTCAAGACAAGTTAATTCATCAACTCGAGTTGATTTTAATGAAGACTTTTCGTTTGATTACAAAGACTGATTCATTGAACATATTAACTTTGTAGAAAATGTAATCTTCATTTTAAGAATAGTTGAAATATTGACATGGGTATAATCATCAAAATCTGCCATAAGATAAAATTAAATTTTCTTGGTCATATGTATCAATTATGAGTAGACAATAAATGTAATAAAGGAGTAACTATCATTCACTTATTATGAAGGATAACTGTATAAAATAAATCTTTTCGATAAACACGTTCTGTAAATATCACAACAAACTATCAATAACCTGTATTACTGACTTTTATATATGTATTCAATTGCATTCACAAATTCAGAGAAATAGTGATGAATATAAATCATTTCGTGATTGTGGATATATAAAAAAAAGAATGTTGAGGGACATGCACAGTAGTCATGAATTCCTCCCAAAATATAGAGCTGATTATTCAGTATATATTATTGTTGTTTTTTTTTGTTTTCCACGTCTATCTACAGGCAAAAAATTACTCATTTTACTGATTATGAATAGAAAACAGTGAGACAAAAACGATACTATTTCTAGCTTTTGGGAATAGTTTTTTATCCTTAACTGCATACGATAATATGTTAGTAGAAAGAATGAATTGAGTTTAGATTTTATAAGCACTATCATTTTTACACATTTCACTTTCTTTTGAACGTAATCTAATGTAATGCGTAAAGACAAGAGGAATGCCGTTCTCTTACTTCATTGGTGACAAATTTTTTCTTTCCAGTTGAACAATGCATCGCTCTTCTCAAGGAGCAAGTGAAATCCGTTAATTGATCATATCATCTGAATCATGAAAATTGAGAAAATATAAGAAAGAACATAATTGTTTTGTTCATTGAAAATTCCAAAAACTAAATGCTTTTATTGATCAAATCTATTCGGTTTGTTTAAATATTCACAACTATTGATCAATGAAATAGATAATTGTTTCTAATTACTGAAAAAAATCACTGTCTATGAAATTATATCATATACTTAAAATTAAATGAAGTATATTCTGTGTTTTTATAGATTGCAACTTCATAGACGATAAAAACAAATCTGAGTAAAAAATAAACTTGTCAATCTGATGATTTCATGATAGTAATAGACCATTGTAGGTGTATTCGTGTATTTCATATTATTTTTTTCTCTCTTACAAAAATTGTTCAACAGATAAAAGAACTTCCTTTTGTTTTCATAGTATTTAGTTTATTCAAATCTTTCATCAAATTATTGTCGGTATATTCTTTGTTTCGATTGGATGGGGATGTTATGAAGTTTCATAAAAAATAAAACATACTCAACAACTTATTTATGCATTTTTCTCGTTAAGTTTTGATGTTTTTGAAAATAATAGATGTCTTTTTGGAGATATATCTGTTGTCCATAATTTTATAAAGACAATTAGAAAAATTATTAATTAAATAGGTATATACACAGCTAAAGGCCTACATAGCTAGACTAGAATATTTTTTATTAGAATTATCTTGATTTTCGTAATTGATATGACAAAGAACAAATTGATTTTTTTGTTTCTGATTTTTTTTGCCGATTGCGTTATGCAATGAACTGATGTATTTATCGAGTATTTGTAAAAGGGACACTTTTATTGCGATATTTATTTTGTTTTTCTTTCCAAAAAAGTGAACAAACGTGAGTAAATAATAGGTGAGAAAATGTACAAGTAAGACATTTCATTTGAATAGAGCTTGTTACAATGCATAATTGAACTAAAGAAATAATAAAATAATGTATAAAAGGAAATTACTAAGATTATTAGTTAATAAAATTGATTTGAACATGAGATATCTTTTGTTTATACTTTATATTTATTTATTTAAATCTTATAATTTCAATTAGTTTGTTATCTGTTGACAATAATAAGAAAAAATTTTGTTATACTCGAAGTATGTTAATTTCGTTGACTGAAGAGTGTCTCTGCTTTTTTAGAAATCAAATTATGTATAGAGAAAATATTTGATTTTGTAAAAGAAATCTCAATAATAATAAATCAATTAATTAATCAACCATATATTTCTATTCTCATTAGACTTTCAATGAAAAAATTTTGATAAAGATGTGTTAACATTCTATGCGTGAAAAAGAATTTTCGTACGAACCATATGTTAAGAAGTATAAGTGAATCTTTGAAAAGTAGAAGAAAAATTTGATCTAAATGATATTTAAAGAAAATTGCAAATGTTCCCCTATGAAATGATATCCTTCTCGTTACTTTTATGAGAAGTTTCTATCAATAAAAAGGTTTATAATAAAAGACTTATTGACATATTTATATTCGCTATATATGATAGAATTCAGATTGATGTTGATGCTTCAAGAATATTTGTGTAAAGTTTTTTGTTTAAAATATCAAGTAACTTCTCCCGATCGTAACGTATTAAACAATGAGTCTTTTGATAAGATTCATAAACAATTTTTTTTATGTTCTAATATTTATTCGAATTTAATTTATGTTTCTTTTTTCATATGACCTCAGTTCAATTCAAATAGTCATTAGTCCAGAAATCTTACTCATATGAACTGCTGATCGCAAGATTCAATTAGTATGATTAGGTACAACAGATCAGGCATCATATGATCATGGTTACATAAGACGAAAATAATTTTTGAATTTTTATATCAAGACAGACGAACTCTTTGCCAGTATTTTCATATGAAGAAATCCAATATGATTTTTTTTTGTATTAACCTCTTTGTATATCTGTTGTGTCTGTTATTTATTTGATTAAATTAGTAAATTGAATGAAGGCATTAATAATTGTTTTCTCATTCAAACGATTAATGTGGAAAATCAGCTATTGTAATCAATTTAAATTAAATAGTCTGGTTGCTTTGCTTTTTATTTTGAAGAAAGTTCGTTTCCAGGAAAAAGTGCATTTTGATCAGAGACTTCTCTTTAGGTTCTCTAATAGTGTAGAGCTAAGTTCAAATTTGGGTGTGGGTGTAGATAAAGAGAAGACCCCTACCCACATTCACACACCCACACCCTTCAAAAAAATTTCTTCAAAAGAAAATTTTTATCAAGATCAAATAACAGGAAAATTAGAAGCTGTTGGAGATACAATAGAACCATTTCATTTTATTTTACATCCAAAAGATGAACAATATTTAACTCGTGAAGATCAAGATAAAGGAAAAGAATTATATTCACTTTTAGTTCAATTTGAAATTCTTCAAGGAGATACAATAAGAAAAATATTTCGAAATAATTCACAAGAACGAGATAAAATAGAAAAGATAATTCGAAATGATCTTGATCCTTCGATTGCCGATCCATTAATTAGTTTATTAAGTAGTAAATCTTCTTTTGAAAAAAAAAAGATTTCGACGATATTGTTTGTTATAGTGAAGAATTATGGCAAATTTTAAATATAAATAAAATAGAAAAAGAATTACCACGGATATATGAAAATGTTTGGAAAGATTTAGAAGATAAAATAGATCCACAACAAGTTAATATTTCTCTATTTGAACAATCAATAGAAAGGAAAATATGCGAAAATTAAATTTAATGGGAATGGTCATGAAACAAAAGATCTTAAAATATTTTTAATAGAATTAAAAGATAATATTAGTCAACAAAATCAATATTTTTATCAAACAGATTTACCATTTACTATTAAAGAAGAAGAAGGAAATAATATTCGAATTTATCTAAAAGAAAAAAATATTTTAAAGTCTGGTGGACTTGCTAAATATAAATATGTAGATATTAAAAGAAATATTGAAAGAATTTTAAAAAATATTCAATTTGAAAATGATAAAGAATTAATTTTGTCGAAAATTTTGTCTTTACAAGGAGATATTCGTTCATTTAAAACAGGTTTAAAAGCTAATTTAAAAGATTTTATAGATCTTCAAGATCAAGAAAATGTTCCAAGTGAATTAAGATTTTTTGAAGGTTTTAATCTTAATAAATTTTTGATTATTGAAGAAGATAAATCTTGGTGGGATTGGAATGCTTTTGAAGTTGCAATAATAGGACTTGTTCAAGACATTGCCGAAGCTGTTTTAGTAGCCTTTGGTTTGACTCAGATAGGCAATGCTTTAATATCAGGTATTTTTAGTTGGAAAGAATGGGCAATACAAAAAGCAATTAGCTTCGGTCTCTCTATGTTGACTGCTGGAATTGGAAAGTTTTTGACGGATAAAATTATGGAACAGATTCAAGAAAATGTTTATACAAAAGATTGTTAGTAAAATAGAAGAAAATTTATTAAAAGGAATAATCGATTTAATAAATAATAAAGTAGAAACTGTTTATCTTCAAAGTAAAAATGAAGAAGAGTTCGAAAAATCTTTTGAAGAATTGAAAAAACATATTAGAAAAAACATTAGGAAAATATATTTTATTACCTCAACAATTTGATAATATTCGAACACGAGTTGTATCTTCTTTAAGAAATAGTTATCATCTATTTGCTGATGGTCTAAAGAAATTCAAAATACGTTAAAATAGCTGCTACTACTCTTAAAGCAATAGATATCATTAATAAGTTGTGGACTGTAGTTCAATCTGTCTTACAGTTCGAATATGTCTTTAATACTTTAAAAGATATTATTGAAGGTACTACCAAAGAAAATCAGAATATTTATAGAAAAAACATTAATAAGAACCTTGTCGAAACAAGAGCAGAACAGTTGAATAGAATCATTAGAGAATATATATATCAACTAAATTAACAAAATAATTAGATAAAGTAGTCACAATGTAATGGAAAAATCCAGCTGATATATTGAAACAATCGAATCAAAATAGACAAAATCATGCAGAAAGTCAAATTGCTAATAAATCAAGATTCAAAGAAAGAATAACAAGATCAAGCGAAAAGAGAAGATCTACAAAATAATATTAGAAATCCAAAACAAATTACTGCAAGTTATTTGAGATAAGCAAACGATAAAGATAGAGCTTTAGGTCTAACTGATATCAAAATGTTAGCAGATCGTAAAAGAAGAAAAATAACTGTTTACAATTCAGATACTGACGAAAAAGAAATAATAAATCCTTCAGAAGTAAGAAAAATACTTGCTCTTTTTAAACAATCTGCCAAAATCTATTATGAAGCAGGTGAAAATGAAGATATTAGACATTATTTTACTGGTAGAGGAACAGAAACATATATACAGATCAATGAACGGAAAGATTGTTTGCTAATAGCTTATCATGAATCATTAGGTACAAAAGTAAACCGAAGAAAAACCTTTACATCTTCAATCCTATAACTGTAATACAGGATGGATCACAGAATGGATCGGTACCATTGGTAAATATTAAAGAAAAAAAACAACTTTCAGATGTTATAAGCAATAAAGATCTAGAAAAAGAAATA